TCACTACAGCAGACCTGAGGGGACATAGGTGTTAACGTTAGTGTCATGCTGAGCTACACTCGGAAGAGTGAAATAGTTGGTACTTTTGATTCATAACACCATTAGCTTATCCTTTGCTGTCAAGGTCGTGGGTTCGATTCCCAGGGATGCACAAACTGATAAAACATGTACTAAATATTTACCTGGACAGAACTGTAATTGCATTCAAATCTATATAACGATCTCTGCTTTTTGCCTGCAAAATGGCATAACTACGGTCTCTTAATCTGTGGGCAAGGGCATAATGCATGAGTCATTTCTCACAACGGTTTCACTGTGCAAAACGACAACGCATTAAAGGAAGCATGATGATAATGAGCGAATTTTACAAGCAAATTTTCCATTCATGCAAATCTATGCCACAACAATCTGACTTCCCACAGGTGTGCTTCTCTACTACATCTCTATTATTCTATAGCCTAGTCTTAACCGACCAGCTCATGTTACTCTATCAGATGCTTTTCAGCTTATTAAAGTCTAATAAGTCGCTTATTAGTTGGAATGAGTGTTTGATTAAATCACAGTAAGAGCAAACTGGTCAATGTTTGTTAAATACAAACACAAATAGCCAATAATTCATGCGATGCAGACAAAACAGGTCTTTTTTTGTTTTTTATATGTGACCCTGGAGCACAAAAGCAGTCTTAAGTCGCTGGGGTATATTTGTAGCAATAACCAACAATACATTGTATGGGTCAAAATTATTGATTTTTCTTTTATGCCAAAAATCATTAGAATATTAAGTAAAGATCATGTTCCATTAATATATTTTGTTAATTTCTTACTGTAAATATATCTAAACGTAATTTTTGATTAGTAATATGCATTGCTAAGAACTTCATTTGGACAACTTTAAAGGCGATTTTCTCAGTATTTAGATTTTTTTGGCACCCTCAGATTCCAGATTTTCAAATAGTTGTTTTGTGGTCCAGGGTCACATGTTTCATTTGTAATATGGTGCTATACTATATATGTAAAAGTAAAAGTAAAGGTTGGTTTTCCCATTTTCTGTGACCTAATCTAAAGTGAGAACTATTTATGGTTAATAAGTTGTTAACAAAGCATTATCTAACTCTTTACATATGAGCTATAATTAAACAATAATAATTGTGTTAATAACAGTGATAATGAATGAAGAACTCACTATTTGTATAGAGTATATTAATATTTTAACTACAGTTTAAAAACTGAATTAACTATAAACTAGTGTATACTTATTAAAGTGATACCCATTTGTCTTGTCATGTTGTTAGGGTTCATGGGATTGTGGGACTCTGTTAAAACACATCACACTGAGAAAGCTGTTTGATGACATCATCATCATCACTATTTTTGCTCCAACTTTTGCTTGAAGCACTTGACATCACACGCTGTGACTCGTAGCATGCTCTGAACATGTAAGCATGTGTGTATGTGAAAGACCTCACACATCTCTCTCACACACACACAGGGATGTGCAAAACAGCGTATTTTCAAACCAAAACAGTCGGCGGATTGTCTGAATGAGCAGACGGTGTTAAAAAATGCTGTATAATTAGGGTCCACCAGACTCTGATCAAACGCATTTCTTCAGCGCTCACACAGGAGGTGTTTTTGTGTTCAAACACAGTGCAACTGAATTGAAAAGAAATCAGGCATTTTTAAAAGTTGAACTGTTTTTAATTTGACACAGTGTCTTGAAAACAGACAGCGTGACTAGTGTTACAGAACAAAATATGAGGCAGTTCTTTTTAGTGAATCATAAACACACAGTGGCACCAGCATAGTCGGACTCTTAAAGGTGACATATCATGAAAATCTGACTTTTCCAGATTTTAAGTGCTATAATCAGGTCCCCGGTGCATCTACCAACCAAGCAGCAGCTCATTTGCATTTAAAGAGACAGGCCCGAAAAACAGTGTGTTTCTGCTTCCACTCAAAATAGGCATTTTGAGCTGAAACTTCACAGACACATTCTGGGGACACCAGAGACTTATATTACATATTGTAAAAAAAGGGGCATAATATGTCTCCTTTAAACAAATGAGTCTTAAGCAAATTATTTTTAGTGAATCAAAAAAAAAAAAACGGACAGCATAACTGTAGTCAGGAACAAATTACTCTAATGAGTTGGTTATTTTTTTAGTGAATTAAACATATACAACTTACAACTATTGCATTCATTTTTTTGTCTTGTTTTTACAGTATAAATATCTAAACATTCTTGAATCAAGATGCATTTACTTGAAAAGCAAAATGACTTCAGATATTAAGTCATTATTATGAAAATATATCTTTAAGCAAAAACGAACAAACTTTTGATACATTTTTCAGAAAACAATACTTAATATCTTAAATCATTTTGCTTCTAAAGTAAATGCATCTTGATTCAAAAATGTTTAGATATTTATACTGGAAAACAAGAAAAAATGCTATGTAAGAAAATCATTTTTTGCTGTCTTACTGAGAAATCAGCACAGTTACTGACTGGCTGTTCTTATTACAATGAGTAGTTAAAGATGCACATTACGAGATTTGTCAATAGTATTTTACAAAAATAAATGAATTAAATGTTACTATGCTTTTTGTTGGTATAGTATTTGCTTAATATGCCAATTATTAGACTGCATTTATATGCTGATTTTAAAAAGACCATTACAAGCCATTAAAGGTTTTTTTTTTTTATTATCTCATCATTTGGCAATGAAGTTGTTGTTGTTGTTTTCTTCTTCAAATATTAATTTCTTACAAGCACCAAAAGAACGGTCAATGGAACCATTATGAAAATAATGAAAACAAAACCAGAATATTTAAATTAGATTTCCAACAACCTACTACTCAATTAGTTATTTTGGTTATTTTTCAACCACTCTTTAAAATATTGAAAATACTACAAATAATAATAATGATAATAAAACAAATGAATAAAAAAAATCCCCTTTAAAACAATATAAAAATATTAAAAGTTAAATTAAAAAATGTCTAGGTGAACTAGTCATCCTCTCTAGTTGCTAGTCAACCGTTCTGCCATTTCCTAACACACATACTTGTGACACTACACCGCAATAATTCTCTCATCACTTAAGCCCACTAAAAACCTTTTAACCTCGCAAATGGATGAAAATAAAAGCATGAACACACTTGCGCACATGGGATCATTGCTCTCAATTTCCTGTTGGGACTGAAATAATCAAAGTCCTTCAGAAGACCATTCCAAATCCCATCGTCATTGTTTGGTGACCTCCTTATTTAATCAGACTCCACACACACACACACACACATCCTACTTTAAAACATGGTCTGTACACACTCAGTGGCTCTTGCTCTGAGTGTGTATAAAAATGGATGAATTTGTAAGTGAAAGGGAGAGAAAGAGATCGAGATGAGGAAGCTGTATTATTCATGCGAATCACTATTTTAGTTTGAAGGACATTCAAAGAATGAGAAGAGGAGCACTCGCTAGAACACATGCACTCAGTGTGCTGCACATCTAATTGTTCTATAGCAGTGTGATGAACTGCATTTCATTTGTTTATATTCGAGCGGTGGTGACCACACACTTTCACAGATCTATGACATCAGGAGGATGCAGCCACAAAACACAGTTTGTATATTCATGCAATCATAATCCAAAGCGAGAAGCGTCCTGCATGCAGTGCTTGTCGCCCTTTGATGATGAAAGCATCTGTCGGAGCATGTGTCCCACCGGCCTCTGTTTGATAATGAGCGAGTGTTGCAAATTACACTTTGACCCATGCTGTGACATTCAAAACATATACCAACAAACATAAACCCATGAACTATTTTATGTTTTAAGGATTTTTTCATAATTTTCCCATCATGTTATGAAAACGTTATTTCCATTTTTTTATGTTTTAAAGAGATTCGTTCATCATTTCCTCACTCTCATGTTATTGCAACCCTGTATACCTTGAGAAACACAAAATAAGTTATTCTGAAGAATGTTAGTAACCAAACAATTTTGGTTGCCATTGACTTCCACTGTATGGCCAATCATGTTCCATTTTATGTTCCACTGAAGAAAGAAAGTCATTTGGAACGACGCGAGGGTGAGTAAATGATGACAGAATGTTAATTTTTGGGTGAACTATCCCTTTAAGGATGTCCTTGGTGGGTTATATGAACGTTATGAAAACGAACGATAACACAATGTTACGCACACACCACTTACACATCATGTAAAGCAATAGCATGAATCAGTTTTAGCTGACCAGGGGTGGATGGGTGGCATTCCAGAAATCCATTTGAAAACAATCATTATTTTTGCGATTCCATTTGGTGATGTTAGTGGTGCAGAAATTACACACTTCAGCTTGAAGACACTAAGAGTGGAAATACAAAACACCCCCATCAAGGCAAACAGAGCAAACCAAAAAACCCAATCTGAAAAACACAGCTCCACCCAGTTTAACCCAGCATTTTTTAGAGTGTATGTAAAGGCTGAAGGGATGCTGTGAATATAATAGGCCATCGATAGAACGCTATTTGCGACCAGCTGCCCCCATTCTGCCTGTAATAAACAAATTACATCTATCGTTTCGTTACGTCAAGAGCTGAAGGCAGAGACTTGTGCACTCAAACACGCACCGACGCCCATTAAAACACCGCGCACGACACACGGGGAAAAAGCATCCTGTGTCCAAAGCCCCCTCACACACACACACGCGACATAATTCAGCTACAGGATATGGAGAGTTTGAGGAGTGTAAACTACAGCATCTCTCCGCCGCTGCCAATCAAACGTCGATCGGTTATTGATTTATTGGTCCTTAAGAAATAACGTCCCCTTGTTTAAAAGCATCGACTCACCGCATCTTATAAAGCACTGGAATAATAGTCAGCTCCGGATGTGTTCAACAGCATCGGGCTGTGTGAGATCTCAGAATGCTCTTTAATTCCCGTGACAGCGTGTCCGTGTGTGAATAAAGCACGCAGATGATGGTTTGAGCCTCCGTTCCCAGATGCGCCTTTATGAGGCTCGAAGCCTCCTGAAGAACCACGACGCGGAACAGGATAGGCTATATCGAGTATCCTTCGTCCCCCAAACCTCTATGGTGGACACGGGGGATCAGAGCCCTGTGTTGTATCCCGATCAGTGTTTTTCTGGAATGAGAGGAAGATGCGCAGAGTGGGTCCAGCGATGGCATCAGCGCCAGTCCATCGCTAGATCGTCCATGCGACCCGACAGCTAGGGAACGAGCGCCGAGAGAAAATGACAAGCCAATTTGGAAGCAAAGTGATGCTTGATTCGAGGATGGAGGGTGGGAGGGAAAGAGAAAGAAAGGGAGGATAAGAGAGGGGCGGTGAATCTGGAGCCGGTGATGACGGGAGGACTTGAGCATGCTCTGGTGGCCGAGAGCGCACACAGCAGTGAAGGTCGACCTTCCCATCACCTGCGGGGTCATCATCGAAATGGGTGCAGTGTGCCTTTTCTGTTATGAAATGTGTTTTCCTTTTGTCTTTACATTTATTTAAGCTTTTAAAAGCTTAAAACCACGTGTTTGCGTAATAAACTGTATGCTAAATTAATTTTACAATTTGTAATAAAGTTGGGATACAGCGACGTCAAAGTAATAATAATTAATAATAATAATTTATGCATTTAGCAGACGCTTTTATCCAAAGCGACTTACAGTGCATTCAGGCTATACATTTTTTACCAGTATGTGTGTTCCCTGGGAATCGAACCCACGACCTTTTGCGCTGCTAACATTTTACATTTTACAAAGTAAACGTTGACATTTAGCCAATACTAGCCTTGTACCCAGGACACTGCAACGTGTTTAAAAGAAAAAAATAGATATAATAATAATAGCTCTACATGCATGTTCAGTTCAGGTTTTAATAATCAGTTTAATGTACAGAATCGTGGTAACAGGGTTGAGATTTAAGCGTTTAAGTTTGTTCACTGACTGTGTACTGTATGTAACAAAACATAAGATAAAGTAATTTTAAAAAAAGACAAAGAGAATGATTTGTTCATGAAGAAATCACATTCAAAGGAGGATGATTAATGGATTTTTGTTTGGAATTTTTTTTTACATCATTCTAATAAGGAGGAGTTATGATAGTACCAGTGCTGATGCTTAGTCTTTTAAATAAAATTATGTTATAAAATATTAAACAGCTTATTTCCATATTTATTATGTACACACAAGTCATCTACGTGGAGAATAAAAAATGAATTAAAAAGCAATAATAATAATAATAATATATCTACCATTATGGATATTGAAATAAGATAATAATCTATATCATTATATATATTGACACACACCTGTCTGTATTATATAATACTTTCTAATCATGTCCAATTGAATTTCCCATGGACTCCAATCAAAGTATCCCAAAGATGATCCAGAGAAATGGGAAGCACCTAAATTTCAAGTGTCATAACAACATATTTATGTCAGTGTATTCATTCAATGTATACTGAGGTTTTTCTTTTTAGTAAATTCACAATTTTTGTATGTCATGGACTACTGTAATATGATTTTTTTGTACATTTTAGAATAAGACTGCCTAACAAAATGTGAAATAAAATGAAGGAGATGTTGAATACTCTCTGAATTTACGGTGTTAAAGTATTCATTTACTTTACTTACTTTACTTTTACTTTTAGTCATTTAGCAGACGCTTTTATCCAAAGCGACTTACAAATAAGAAAAAGTAATTAAAACTAAAAGCTAAAACTCTATAAATACTATATATATACACACATTTAAGAAAATAAAAGAAATTAAATAAAAATGACAAATGCATACAACAACATTTCAAAACTAAAACATTTAAATGAAAACAAAAAAATAAAGCTAAAAACAATTCAAACATACACAAATAAGAAAAAGTCATTAAAACGAAAAGCTAAAAGCTTTTAAGAAAATAAAATAAATTAAATAAAAATGACAAATGCATACAACAACCTTTCAAAACTAAAACATTTAAATTAAAATAAAAATAAAACTAAAAACAATTCAAAATATTAAAAGAACAAAAGGTATGCGTATAATAATGATTCTAACATAACACTAAGCAAAACACCAAAAAACAACTACATGTGTGTATGTACAGCCACACACATATACATGTACATATATATAGATACATTCAATATATATATATTTCATTTCCATTTTGTATGTTGAAGTACTGAAATAACTCAAATTAAATAAAAGTAAAACTTAATAAAAAGCCTATATAGACATAATAAAAAAACTAATAAAATGACAACATGACTACAACTGTAACTAAAACTAAAATAGATAACTAATACAAATCAAAGTACATTAGTTCATCAGTAATCCTAAAAAAAATAACACTGAGGCAAACACACATGATAAAATAACAACAACTTACTGACACATAGTAAGAAATGGTTATAAAAAA